AAAAAAGTAATAATATTTACTGATTAAATACATAAAAAAAAACTAAAAGCAAAAAATAAAATAAATAAAAAATGAAGAAAAAAAAATTAATGGGACGATAAATGGGGGACATGTCCCGTCCCGCTTTAAACAGGTATGAGAATGGAGTAAGGTAACAAAAATACCCGATGGGATGGGGTGAGAATGACCGACTCGTCTCATACTCGACCAGTTGTCATCCCTAAGTCCAAACTAGAAATATTTTGAGACGACTAAAAATCGTTTTGAGTTTGAACAGACCATTTAATTCTCATCCAGATCTATTTGTGAAACAAGATAAGTTGGAAAGGCTTGCTTCTTGGATCTTTCTTCCCACTTGTTTGTATTGCAAAATTGTCTAGAGAAATTATATTGCATGACGAATTCGATCGTTTTAGATTGCATTATGAAATTCTTCCAAGTTAAAGAAACTAGTTATCCAAGTTTATTTGGCAGAGAATTTCAGAATTTTTAATAGATATGAACATGTTAACAGGCTGGTTATGGTGCATTTTTGGCTACAACAATAAGCATGCCTCAGCAAACTAAGGCCTTGATGCTAGTATATGGTGGATTCACAACGAGGAAACTATTGCAAGTAAGATTGAGGTTGTAACAAAATTAAGTAATTCTACTCATCTTCTTATAATTTGTGCTTATATATACCCATTTGGCAGGAACGTGATTCGGAAAATGTGTATGGCCAATGGTTGGGATGGATGATGACTGCCATATACATGGGTGGTCGACTACCTCAGATTTGGCTGAATGTATGTTAATGTTTTTTCAATATTAAACTTTCTTCCCCTTCAATTTGCCACTAATAGTTCTTGCTTTTCTGATCAGATCAAAAGAGGCTCAGTCGAGGTAAATTTTTTTAGCAATATTTGGTAGGGTATCAACAAGATTTTAGTTTTTGCTAGTGAACAAATAAATCAAAAACTCATATTTCTATATGATTACTATGTAGGGCTTGAATCCCCTAATGTTTATCTTTGCATTGCTTGCCAATGCCACTTATTTGGCCAGGTACATATATAATCTCTCACACATAAAAGAACAAGTTGAACTCGCTTTGATGACACGCCTTTTGTTCACTCGACTCACTTGAGTCGGACTCTCTCTAATCTCTCAGATTTGTCTGATGCAGCATTCTCGTAAGATCAACTGCTTGGAGTAAAATCAAAGCTAATATGCCTTGGTTGCTGGATGCTGCTGGCTGCGTCGTCCTAGACTTATTCGTATCCTTTTCATCTTCTACTCAATTTCTATCAGTGTGCTCAAAATTAAGCCCAACAATTTAGATTAAAGAGGTCCCTTTTGGCCTTATTACATGCTTGCGCATGCAATGATAAAATAAATCCAACATGAATGTGTTAAAAGTATAAAATTTCAAGAATCAGGTTATACCTTACACAAATTCATAGATAATATTACAGTCTGCATACTACAAAAATTTTCACAAGAAAACTTCGAGAGGCGGAGAAGACTACGGAGACTATGTCGAAGCTAACAATGAGGATTAAGTAATCCTGGAAAGTATGTTCCTATCTACAGAGATTACAGGTCGTCTGTGTTCCTGTAACTGAATTTGATCGTGTAATTCCTTTTTTACTTGGTGCTTATGTTGTTATTATTCAATAATCATTCTAAGAATAAAAATCACATATTCTAAATTGGTAGATTAAAGTTTATACATGCGCAAGAAATTTTTGTTTATGAATATTACCAACTAGATCTTCTTCTCTTTACTCTTCACAAATAATCAGCCGTCAATGGGACAAACCAATAAACGATATGGAGAGGAGAGGAGAGGAGATCTAGCCATTATATAGGAAATTATAAAGCTGACTCATTAACGACTCTAACCCTAATTAGGGTTTACATAATTCCGGCCCACATACTTAAAATTACCACATTATAAAAATAAAGCATGTAAGGTGTATAACGGCCTAAGTTATCACTGACATATTGGGTTTAATCACAGTATCATTGCAAACCATACATCTAACCCGTAAAATTCGCAATCAAATGGAAGCCTACATAATAAAATTATTATAACATTCTTCCACTTGGACAAATATTTGATTGTTATAGAATAGAACTTTTAACATCTGGGTCAGACTACATAGGTGGCCACACAATTATAGCTACAATGATAGCACCTTACACAACATGATCTGGTCCAACAAGAATGTCAACATCGCACATGGAAGTCGTTACACCAATAAAATGATGTAAGACCGCTCCACAGCTACAAATGTCAATCATCCTTATCGACATGGATCCCCATCCTCCAACCAAAGTGGAAATATGCAGTATGAACTTAATACAAATGTGATAAAAAAAAAAAAAATTTGTGCTAATTCATATCGATCCTCA